TATTTTATGGTTAATCTGCCGTTTATCAAAGAAATTATAAATTGTTTATATTATAGACAGATTAGTTTCAATTGTCTCCGGAGACCCCTCGACAGGTTCAGGTAGCGCCTGGTGTCAGCGCCGCCAGCGGTGGCAGCGTCGCCCGCTTCACCAGCGGCGGGAGGCAGCGCCACGACGCCAGGTGACACAGGTGGCGTCATGCCTCGTACCGGTAAATCCCATCAAGAAGCACAGCGTTCAGCAGAAAGGGTGTGTCAAGAGTGGATTAATACTTCCTTCATTATGAAGCAAGAGAGAGTGATCAATCCCATCAGGATTACGTGGTGGACCCCGTGGCGGCGGGCGGTTAGCGGCGTCTCCGTGGCAACGGGCGGTTAGCGGGGTCTCCGTGGCGGCGGGCGGGTAGCGGAGACTCCGTGGCTGCTGGCGTGTAGCGGCGTCTCCGTGACGGCGGGCGGTTAGCGGCGTCTCCGTGGCAACGGGCGGGTAGCTGCGTCTCCGTGGCGGAAGCGGGTAGCGGCGTCTCCGTGTTGGACGAGCGTGTAGCGGGGTCTCCGTGGCGGCGGGCGGGTAGCTGCGTCTCCGTGGCGGCGGGTGGGTAGCGGCGTCTCCATGGCGGATGGCGGGTAGCGGCGTCTCCGTGGCGGCGGGCGTGAAGCGGCGACTCCGTGGCGGCGGGCGTGTATCCGCGTCTCCGTGGCGGCGGGCGGGTAGCGGCGACTCCTTGGCGGCGGGCGGGTAGCGGCGTCTTCGTGGCGGCGGGCGGTTAGCGGCGACTCCGTGGCAGCGGGCGGGTAGCGGCGTCTCCGTGGCGGCGGGCGGTTAGCGGCGACTCCGTGGCGGCGGGCGGGTAGCGGCGTCTTCGTGGCGGCGGGCGGTTAGCGGCGACTCCGTGGCAGCGGGCGGGTAGCGGCGTCTCCGTGGCGGCGGGCGGTTAGCGGCGACTCCGTGGCAGCGGGCGGGTAGCGGCGTCTCCGTGGCGGCGGGCGTATAGCGGCGTCTCCGTGGCGGCGTGCGGATAGCGGCGTATCCGTGGCGGCGGGTGTATAGCGGCGTCTCCGTGGCGGCGTGCGGATAGCGGCGTATCCGTGGCGGCGGGCGTATAGCGGCGTCTCCGGGGCCCGGCACCACCACCTATACCGTTCATTTTATTATCTAACTACTAGAACTTTTTATCATAAATAACTTGAGAACTGTTCAAAAAGCTTTCCAATTCATGATGAAAAGTTGTTTTAAATTTGTGAGTGAATTTGACATTATAGATGATTAAGAAAAACTAATTAGAATATTAATATTGACGTCCTCCGCATTAAAGAAAATAACAGTATTTATAAATATGTGCAAAATATAAGTCTTAATATCAGAATAAGTCTCAATAAGTCTCACAGAAAGCACAACAAGCCTGCCAGAGTAGCAGGTGTGACTGGGTGATGGTGAGTCGCAACCTACTGCTGCTCGTACTCAGTCCTCACCATCATTCCTCAGCCCAGGTTGACTCAGGGGCTGTGTGGTTACCATGCACACAGTTTAAATGTGAATATTGTTACTCAAAGAAATTATAAATTGTTTATATTATGGACAGACTAGTTTCAATTGTCGCCGGAGACTCCTCGATAGGTCTCCGGAGACCTGTTTCATGTTTCCCCGTGACACAGTGGTCACATGTGTCACGACACATTGGTCACATGTGTCACGGCGTGTGTGTGTGTGTGTTGAGGTAACAGAAGGCTTCCTAACAGCTTTGGTAAAGCTTAAATTTGAACTATTCTTGATCACAACTTTGTTTTTCTCCTCCACTTATTGGTATTATGCGACGTTCGTTTGTTTCACGTTATCTTGTAAAAGTGGACCCGATTACTGACGGATAGATATCCAGTTATCCTGTAAAATGACAGGTGGTTGTGGGCACGGAAGGCGAGACCTCACTGTCCCGTTGACATTGACGGGTCATGTTAGTGTCAACACTGACGCGTCATGTTAGTGTCAACACTGACGGGTCATGTTAGTGTCAACACTGACGGGTCATGTTAGTGTCAACACTGACGCGTCATGTTAGTGTCAACACTGACGGAACATGAATATAATGCAGCATATTCTTGCCCTCATGAGGTAAGAGTCATGAGGGTACTGTAGTTTAGTCATCCCGACACTCAGAACACATCCTCCAACCTGCCTGGCACCGTGGGAGGGTCTCCAGTGACCTGCCAAGCACCGTGGGAGGGTCTCCAGCGACCTGCCTGGCACCGTGGGAGGGTCTCCAGCGACCTGACTGGCACCGTGGGAGGGTCTCCAGCGACCTGACTGGCACCGTGGGAGGGTCTCCAGCGACCTGCCAGGCACCGTGGGAGAGTCTCCAGCAACCTGCCTGGCACCGTGGGAGAGTCTCCAGCATCCTGCCTGGCACCGTGGGAGGGTCTCCAGTGACCTGCCAGGCACCGTGGGAGGGTCTCCAGCGACATGCCTGGCACCGTGGGAGGGTCTCCAGCGACCTGACTGGCACCGTGGGAGGGTCTCCAGCGACCTGCCTGACACCGTGGGAAGGTCTCCAGCGACCTGCCAGGCACCGTGGGAGAGTCTCCAGCAACCTGCCTGGCACCGTGGGAGGGTCTCCAGTGACCTGACTGGCACCGTGGGAGGGTCTCCAGTGGCTCTAGACGGACCGACTCCTCCCATGCTCCTCCCTCCGCCACTAGCATTATTAGGAGGCCAGGCTGCTCACGGGTGAGATGTAGTCTATTGCAACACTGCCAGCGACATGTTGAGAGTGAACAGGTTGTGGGTTAATGCTGGAGTCTGGCTTGTTTTCTGTCGTTTAATACTCAACCAATTCGTTGGGTTGTAATTGGAAATGAAGCAACACAATATATTCATCAGTGCCACCGTTGATGTAGGGACCACAACAGTGCCAGCGTTGATGTAGGGACCACAACAGTGCCAGGGTTGATGTAGGGACAACAACAGTGCCAGCGTTGATGTAGGGACCACAACAGTGCCAGCGTTGATGTAGGGACCACAACAGTGCCAGCGTTGATGTAGAGACCACATCAGTGCCAGCGTTGATGTAGGGACCACAACAGTGCCACCGTTGATGTAGGGTCCACAACAGTGCCAGCGTTGATGTGGGAACCACAACAGTGCCAGCGTTGATGTGGAAGGCTTCAACAGTGTGGGGGGATACTTTTTAAAGGCGCTGCGCCTCGAGCTCCCCCTCCCTCCCTCCCCCACCTCCATAACCCATCACCCCCTCCCTTATCACCCCCTCCCCCTCCCTCATCACCCCCCTCCCCCCTCACTCATCACCCCCTCCCTCCCCCCTCCCACCCGTCCGCCGCCAGGACTGAGGGAGGGAACAAAGTTATCAAAAATAGTCTTGCTAACTTTCCTCGGAGCACCGGATCAATACAGAAATTTGAAATGTGAGCTCCAGTAACGTCCCTCAGCTTTCATACAAGTCTGAGCCCCGTGTAGCAACGTCCCTGAGGTCTCATACAAGTCTGAGCCCCGTGTAGCAACGTCCCTCAGCTCTCATACAAGTCTGAGCCCCGTGTAGCAATGTCTCTCAGGTCTCATACAAGTCTGAGCCCCGTGTAGCAATGTCTCTCAGGTCTCATACAAGTCTGAGCCCCGTGTAGCAATGTCTCTCAGGTCTCATACAAGTCTGAGCCCCTTGTAGCAACGTCCCTCAGGTCTCATACAAGTCTGAGCCCCTTGTAGCAACGTCCCTCAGGTCTCATACAAGTCTGAGCCCCGTGTAGCAATGTCTCTCAGGTCTCATACAAGTCTGGGCCCCATGTAGCAACGTCCCTGAGGTCTCATACAAGTCTGAGCCCCTTGTAGCAACATCCCTCAGGTCTCATACAAGTCTGAGCCTCTTGTAGCAACGTCCCTCAGGTCTCATACAAGTCTGAGCCTCTTGTAGCAACGTCCCTCAGCTCTCAGACAAGTCTGAGCCCCGTGTAGCAACGTCCCTCAGCCCTCATACAAGTCTGAGCCCCTTGTAGCAACGTCCCTCAGCCCTCATACAAGTCTGAGCCCCTTGTAGCAACGTCCCTCAGCTCTCATACAAGTCTGAGCCCCGTGTAGCATCGTCCCTCCTGGTGACTCTCTGGATCCTGGTGACTCTCTGAGTCCTGGTGACTCCCATGATCCTGGTGACTCCCATGATCCTGGTGACTCCCAGGTCCTGGTGACTCTCTGGGTCCTGGTGACTCCCGGGGTCCTGGTGCCTTTCTCCAGAGGTGTTTGGACTCACCAGGTGACAGTTGCCTTCTTGAAGGCGAGAATACAAAGGTGCGTCTGGGATCTGTAGCGCCACTGATGATCTTATGGCTACAACGTAGCGTGTTGTCTTTCCCTGTGGTGGGTTTGGAATGTTTTCCTCTTATACTTGATAATTAGAAGGATGTTTTTAACAGTTGAGTTTAATTACTGGCTAAACTGACTTTTCTTGGGGAATAGTGCATGCTTTTACACATGTCCTGAACCGGTTGGTGAGAGTAATGAGAATGGTGTTACTGTGACCCGGTTGATGAGCATGAGCATAACAACCATGAGTGGTTGTTACTGTGAATCGGTTGATGATAGAACCATGAGTGGTTGTTACTGTGAACCGGTTGATGATAGAACCATGAGTGGTTGTGACTGTGAACCGGTTGATGAGAGAACCATGAGTGGTTGTTACTGTGAACCGGTTGATGATAGAACCATGAGTGGTTGTTACTGTGAACCGGTTGATGAGAGAACCATGAGTGGTTGTTACTGTGACCCGGTTGATGAGAGAACCATGAGTGGTTGCTACTGGCAAGTCTGGAGGACTCGGTATGAACGCATCAACTCATCCATATTCATGTCTCCCTTGTCTCCAGGCTAATCATGCACCTAAATCATCCATTTTAATCCTGTGGTTGAATTATGCAATGTAATCCTGCTCTTTAATCACGTTTTTCTCCCCCTCACGTAGTCAGAGGCGCCAGTTTATGTGAGGTACAAACACATGCATCATGCCGACACTTGGTGGGTCTACCTGGCCCTCTACTCTACTGTATGTGGCGGGGACTGCATCATGTTGGGGCTGGCCAACATGATTGTCCAGGTCAATGAAATATCATGGAATGAAACCCACATATGGCGGTTTGCAATTTGATATTACCAGTTCGAGTATCAGTTTATTGCAATTTTTAGCAACAAATTTCCGGTTTCTCGTTAAGTGCATCTCAAAGCACTGAGAGTGTTGGTTGGGCAGCGTCACTGTTGCTGGCCACCCCAGTGGTCCGGCCACTCCCTCACCCATACTGGCTTCGTCAGCCCACATTGTTTGTTGGAGTATATTTCGCCTGATTCTTGGTTAATACCGTATGATGGGGTTAATGTCAAACGACAGAACAGGCTTCATGCCATTAACAAATAATGAGTAGCAACAGTCAGGTGGACCTTCCCAGCGAGCCTTGACTCTGGCCTTGAGTCGTCTTGAAGTAGTACTAACAACCAGTAATTCTGCACCCGTTCAATAGTTATTGTACAACATGCATCAATAGCCATTCCAAGCTGTGGTGAAACATGCATACCATCACAGGCTGATACGTCACTCGGGTTTACCATATCCCTTACCCTGAAGCTGCGTTTAAGCTATTTTTGTTATATTGTTATATGACTCGCTCCAAATAATGTTTCAGTAACCCAAGTTCCAATATTGCTACATTGTTCAGGCCTCGGGGGGCTGAGCCTGCTACACCTGTTCAGGCCTCGGGGGGCTGAGCCTGCTGCATTGTTCAGGCCTCGGGGGGCTGAGCCTGCTGCATTGTTCAGGCCTCGGGGGGCTGAGCCTGCTGCATTGTTCAGGCCTCGGGGGGCTGAGCCTGCTGCACCTGTTCAGGCCTCGGGGGGCTGAGCCTGCTGCACCTGTTCAGGCCTCGAGGGCTGAGCCTGCTGCACCTGTTCAGGCCTCGGGGGGCTGAGCCTGCTGCACCTGTTCAGGCCTCGAGGGCTGAGCCTGCTGCACCTGTTCAGGCCTCGGGGGGCTGAGCCTGCTGCACCTGTCCAGGCCTCGGGGGGGCTGAGCCTGCTACACCTGTTCAGACCTCGGGGGGGATGAGCCTGCTGCACCTGTTCAGACCTCGGGGGGCTGAGCCTGCTACACCTAGTTTCAGTCAATAATTTTAATGTCATCACATTCGTCCAGGATTTAGTGATCGTTGCCGCGGCCTGAGTTAACCAACCAATATTTTCACCATAATTAATCGTCTGGCAATTTGGTCACCGTGTTCGCGGTCCGCTGAAACTATAGTCATTAAAACATAAATTAATCTATGAATTACACACAAAAATAGACGATGTTACCGGGAAATACAAAGCGAACCGAGTTTCAAGAATTTGTTTGTGGTGTGTGAAGATAATATTTACCTAAGGTACATGGGCGGAGTGTTGTTAGTGACCTCACTACTGGTTCGTGGTGTACGTGGGTCCCATCTTAGGAGTTAGTGTCAATTAAGGGTTTGTAAGGAAAAATAAGGTATGTGGATTAATTTGTTTGGTATGTGGAGGTTACTAAGTTTGGGTGGCAGGTGGTGACAGAGACGGCAGCACTGTGGACGGCAGCACCGTGGACGGCAGTACCGTGGACGGCAGCACCGTGGACGGCAGGACTGTGGACGGCAGCACCGTGGACGGCAGGACCGTGGACGGCAGGACCGTGGACGGCAGGACCGTGGACGGCAGCACCGTGGACGGCAGCACCGTGGACGGCAGGACCGTGGACGGCAGCACCGTGGACGGCAGCACTGTGGACGGCAGCACCGTGGACGGTAGCACCGTGGACGGCAGCACTGTGGACGGCAGCACCGTGGACGGCAGGACCGTGGACGGCAGCACCGTGGACGGCAGCACTGTGGACGGCAGCACCGTGGACGGTAGCACCGTGGACGGCAGCACCGTGGACGGCAGCACCGTGGACGGCAGCACCGTGGACGGCAGCACCGTGGACGGCAGTACCGTGGACGGCAGCACTGTGGACGGCAGCACCGTGGACGGCAGGACCGTGGACGGCAGCACCGTGGACGGCAGCACCGTGGACGGCAGCACCGTGGACGGCAGCACCGTGGACGGCAGCACCGTGGACGGCAGGACCGTGGACGGCAGCACCGTGGACGGCAGCACCGTGGACGGCAGCACCGTGGACGGCAGCACCGTGGACGGTAGCACCGTGGACGGCAGCACCGTGGACGGCAGCACCGTGGACGGCAGGACCGTGGACGGCAGGACCGTGGACGGCAGCACCGTGGACGGCAGCACCGTGGACGGCAGCACTGTGGACGGCAGCACCGTGGACGGCAGCACCGTGGACGGCAGGACCGTGGACGGCAGCACCGTGGACGGCAGCACCGTGGACGGCAGGACCGTGGACGGCAGCACCGTGGACGGCAGCACCGTGGACGGCAGGACCGTGGACGGCAGCACTGTGGACGGCAGCACTGTGGACGGCAGCACTGTGGACGGCAGCACCGTGGACGGCAGCACTGTGGACGGCAGCACCGTGGACGGCAGCACTGTGGACGGCAGCACCGTGGACGGCAGCACCGTGGACGGCAGGACCGTGGACGGCAGCACCGTGGACGGCAGGAGACGAGGGGCGCTGTGAGGGTGTTTTATGTGTTCCAAGTGAAACACCAATGTTATAAAGTTAATTAAAGTATGGGAGGCATGCACTAATGGTGGCGGGGGAGTGCCTTGCTTCGTGGGGCTGGCCCTGACTCGTGGGGCTGGCCCTGGCTCGTGGGGCTGGCCCTGGCTCGTGGGGCTGGCCCTGACTCGTGGGGCTGGCCCTGGCTCGTGGGGCTGGCCCTGGCTCGTGGGGCTAGCCCTGGCTTGTGGGGCTGGCCCTGACTCGTGGGGCTGGCCCTGGCTTGTGGGGCTGGCCCTGGCTCGTGGGGCTGGCCCTGGCTCGTGGGGCTGGCCCTGGCTCGTGGGGCTGGCCCTGGCTCGTGGGGCTAGCCCTGGCTTGTGGGGCTGGCCCTGGCTCGTGGGGCTGGCCCTGGCTTGTGGGGCTGGCCCTGACTCGTGGGGCTGGCCTGGATCGTGGGGCTAGCCCTGACTCGCGGGGTTAACCCTGACTCGTGAGGCTGGCCCTGACTCGCGGGCCTGCCACAGACTTGGCCATTCATTTATATAATAGTAAGCAGCATACATAATAGTGTGTTCTGTCCCCCACAGAGAGGGCGAGGCGTGTGCTGACCATATAGTGTAGACAGTTATTGAGCACTCACCACTATGAAGTACTTCTGGGGTGCTAGCCAGCGTGCACACGCTACATGTCTGTCTGTCCTCAGTACACAGGGGTTAGAGGAGGGGGGCTTACATAGGATACAAGTGACTGTTGAGAGCTCAGCCACAGAATGTAATTTACATATATACACACATGCCTAAACATATAGATACTTACGTTTGTCATACTTTGACAGGGTAAAAGAACTGCTATAGAACGATGGTGAGAAGGGAACGGGCCACTGGTGGCGGGCCTGGCCACTGGTGGCGGGGCGGGCCACGGGTGGCGGGCCTGGCCATGGGTGGCGGGCCTGGCCACTGGTGGCGGGCCTGGCCACTGGTGGCGGGCCTGGCCAATGGTGGCGGGCCTGGCCATGGGTGGCGGGCCTGGCCAAGGGTGGCGGGCCTGGCCACGGGTGGCGGGCCTGGCCATAGCAGCTAGCCAGCCAGTGTTTCCCGACCATTGAACAATAACACTCAATAGTTAGATTCCCCGCCCACCGCTGATGGATGACCCGACACACACTACACCCAAATACTCTTTATTTACTCCCCTACTTTATTGCAATTGCACATTACTTCCTGCTTTATTGCAAGTGAACATTAATGCCTGCTGCATTGCAAATGAACATTAGTGATGTTCATTTGGGTTATCCCTCCCTGGGACACAACTGTGGCCATTACTCTCCGCTACATTACACGCGCACTTGCCTCCCTGTGGTTCAAGGGAACACTTCTTTCATCAGCGGCGGCGGCGGCGGCGGCCTGGGGCGGGAGGCTCGCCCGTCTGGGCACCCAACCTCACAATATTGGTGCTATTACAAGTGTTGGGAGCAACTCTTGACTAGAATTATTAGGTGATCTACGATCTCTCTCTCCAGTGTCCCGCCACCACCACCATATACTCCAGTGTCCCACCACCACATACTCCAGTGTCCCACCACCACATACTCCAGTGTCCCACCACCACATACTCCAGTGTCCCACCACCACATACTCCAGTGTCCTACCACCACATACTCCAGTGTCCTACCACCACATACTACAGTGTCCCACCAGCACATACTACAGTGTCCCACCACCACATACTCCAGTGTCCTACCACCACATACTACAGTGTCCCACCACCACATACTACAGTGTCCCACCACCACATACTCCAGTGTCCCACCACCATATACTCCAGTGTCCCACCACCACATACTCCAGTGTCCCACCACCACCTACTACAGTGTCCCACCAGCACATACTCCAGTGTCCCACCACCACATACTACAGTGTCCCACCAGCACATACTCCAGTGACCCACCACCACATACTACAGTGTCCCACCACCACATACTCCAGTGTCCCAACACCACAACATACTCCAGTGTCTCACCACCACCACATACTACAGTGTCCCACCAGCACATACTCAGGGTCCCTCCACCACATACTCCAGTGTCCCGCCACCACTAGGGGGCCTTGTAGCCTGGTGGATAGCGCGCAGGACTCGTAATTCTGTGGCGCGGGTTCGATTCCCGCACGAGGCAGAAACAAATGGGCAAAGTTTCTTTCACCCTGAATGCCCCTGTTACCTAGCAGTAAATAGGTAACTATTTAGTCGGCTGTCACGGGCTGCTTCCTGGGGTGTGTGTGTGTGTGTGTGTGTGGTGTGGGAAAAAAAAAGTAGTTAGTAAACAGTTGATTGACAGTTGAGAGGCGGGCCGAAAGAGCAAAGCTCAACCCCCGCAAACACAACTAGGTGAAAACCACATATTCCAGTGTCCCACCACCACCACATACTCCAAGGTCCCACCACCACAACTGTCATCCATATCGTGGTCTTCATCAGGTGACAGTCTTGCTTAAACAGTTGCTGAATCTGAGAGTCAAAAGCACACAAGGTGAAGGAGAAGGGAGCATGGTGGGTGCTCAAGAGTGTGCAGTGTGGGCACCTGAGCGGTCGCTCGCCGAGCTTTCACTTTCCTAACCATTTACCAATAACAAAAGCCAATTAGCTGTCAGACTTCTCAAGGTGTGCCGGCCTCCCTCTCCCTACCCTTCCCCGCCGCTGTCTCAGGGTGGTGCTACCGTGTGGGGTGGTGAGTCGTGCATGGAGGAGTCATGCTGCTCGAGTATGGTCCCGCATGTTAGGCTGGCTGCTTACCGCCATGTGTTAGGTTGACCCGTGTTACGCCCCATGTTACGCCTGCAGCTTAACACGCAAGCTTGTGCACATTCACCATTATTTGGTATTCACATGGCTGATCAGCGCGTTATCCGGATCACCCACACTGTCACCCACACTGTCACCTAGTCACCCAAACTGTCACCCACACTGTCACCTAGTCACCCAAACTGTCACCCACACTGTCACCTTAGTTACTTCTACGACATCCGTCTCATACACTATAATTATAAAATATAATTTGGAGAGTTAATTGCTCGACTTCTTTCTCAAGGAAAGAACATATGTATCCAGAAGGTCCGTCCTGCTTTACTCACTCATCTAATCCTTTCTGCCATCATCTATATAAGTAAAAATTGAAATGTTCGTTTGTTCAAAATCGCTAATCTCCGAAAGTTCTTCACCGATTGCTTTAAAATTTTTACTCAACGTTCCATTCGCATTCGAGCAGGTTTGTATATACATACTATATAGATGTCACGTCTGTGACGGGGAAACACGCTTTTCAGAAAAACTGTGTTTTTCATGTGAGGGAAATCTTCGAAACCTCTTTACCGATTGCTTTGAAAGTTTAACATAACGTTGCATTCGAATAGGCGCGTACTTTTATATACCTACTATATACATGCCTCACTTGTGACAAGAATTTTTTTTTTTTTTTAAAGAGCGCCATCTCTTTGACGAAAGAGCAACACATGCTGTAATCTCCAAAAGTTCTTCACCGATTGCTTTGAAATCTTGATACAATGTTCCATTCGAATATGCGTGTGTTTTTATATACCTACTATATAGATGCCACACCTGTGACTGGTAAAACAGGCATTTTTGGAAAAACAGCGCCATCTGTTGCACGTAATAGCAACACACGAAATACTAAATGTTACGATTGTATTTCAATGTTTCTGATTGCATTGATAAATTGAATTTTTATGGTTTTCGATTTATTTTCATTTTGATATAATTATTTTGGGTGACTTTGCATTGTAATTGAGCTGTGTTGTTTACCGTTTATTTCGTGAGTATAGTTTATTTTTTATTTTTTCATTTTTTTCATTTCGTTTTTTTAACTGTTCTTCTTATATTTCAGTGATGGGAACACAGATCATTTGGGAATGCATCGGATGAGGGAGTGAGGAATGGTGGGGAGGACGAGGGGACGGGGGAGAGGGTAATGGTGGGGAGGAAGAGGGGATGGGGGAGTTGGGAATGGTATGGGATGAGGGGACAAGGGGAATGGAGAATGGTGGAGAGGACAAGGGGACCGCAGAGTGGGGGATAGTGGGGAGGACGAGGGGACGATGGAGGGTGGGGGGGGGGGGAATGGTAAGGAGGACTAGGGGACGGGGGATAGTTGCTGTGGCTGGGTACAGCTAGTCAATAATACATATCTACAGCAATTACTGGTTTATATATATATATATATATATATATATATATATATATATATATATGTGTGTGTGTGTGTGTGTGTGTGTGTGTGTGTGTGTGTGTGTGTGTGTGTGTGTGTGTGTGTGTGTGTGTGTGTGTGTGTGTGTGTGTGTGTGTGTGTGTGTATACCAAGGTCACACATGTGACCTGTAGTCAGTACTACAGTCACTCAGTACACCTGACTGATTTTGGCACTGCCCGCTAACTACGCTTAGCAATATATTTGAAAATAAAAAAATCAATATTTTTTTTATAACAATATGAAAAATTAAGCACTGAGATCGGGAAAATTAATATAAATAATCTAATCGCCATACTTTGTCTGAAGTAGCACAAAACAAATTATTTTCTCTAAGCTAAAGAGAGACTTTTATATTTTGTTATTTTTAACATCGCAAGGATTCTGTCTCTGACGAACCTCCTGTATACCAATGTAAACCTCTTACATTATTTGTATAACAAAGAGACGGAGACAGACAAGCAGCAAAAAGACAGAGACCGACAGTCAAATAGAATGAGAAAGATGGAAGTCATCAACAGATACAACGAACAAGATAACTAAACATCTGCCATGTGCTATATATCAAACACTCTCAACCATGGAGTAACAGTCAGCCGACACTCAGGTACACTCACTGATCATCAAGGCCAAGAGTATCCACCACACATAAAAACACAAGAAATTAGGAAATTGCAGGTGTTATTGACTATTGCGACACACCTTTCTTAACCTCATCCTGTTTGGTTAAATATATTTCGTAGCTTCAGCTAACTTG